CAAAAGGAAAACACAGCGTCACAGAGTCATTGTTACACACACACACACACACACACACACACACACACACACACACACACAGATGCTATAAAGCAACGACGCGCTGAAGTCTCAGGGGAGATTTCCATATGCTCGCAGCGCTGAACCATGAAAACTACACTCGCGCTCACACCCTACAAACTAGTGATGAAAGTGATTCCTCCAAACGCTAATCATGACTAAAATAACTCGCTTGATCATCCTCTATCAAAGGCCACGGGACTCACCGACATGTGGACAGACTGACAGAATAAATGTAAGTTGACACCAACCCAGTTGTGTCAACAAAAAAGAAAAAAAAAACATACAAAAAAAGAGATGTAGACAGGTAGACATATGTGGGACATGGCTAACAACAGGGACTGTATTAAAATTAGAAAAATGAGTGAGACAGAAAAGAGGGTGAAGGCAGAATAAAGACATTAATACTGTTGGAGTCGCATGTGCCAAAGACTTATTAGCTGACCTTGTTCAAAGACTGTTTTCCAATAGTGTTCATGTTAGACAGTTTGAATTAGTGCTCCTGCTTCTGGTGACATTAAAATCGGACCTATTATTATTATTTATTCTTTGTCAGTACTGCTTTTGGCATTACTACAAGTATAATCTATTAATAAGCACTGGGGGAATGAATCCCTTCCACAGTGCTTAATAATCACCATCTTGTGTTCTTTTGTTTGCAACACATGGACAAGACGTTGAACGGGGTACTTCCTAGAAAGTGTCCCTTATTTATTTATTTTTTTGCATTCTTCAAATGTAATGGAAATGAGATGGAAATAAAGCACCGCTGGCTAAAACCGTCTTCAACAATAGTTTGTTTTCGAGGCTGAAAGACATCATCCTGACAACAGCTGGGCATGCTCTTTTGGTCTCTTATTTTTTTGCAGCGCCAACACAACACAAGCGTCCATCAAAAATTTAAACATTCATTGTTCTTGCATTCAAGTTTTTATTTGCTGCTGTTGGGCTCAAAAACAATTGAAACATGTCAGAAATAAATTTTCAGCTTCTAAGCTTTTGAGGGAAAAAGGCATTGGACGTGTTTGATTGACGGCTGAGTCAGAGGAGGCACAAAACTGAATGTGAACAAATTTTCAAAGACATGCCAAGCAGCCAAGCGTCAGCTCCGAAGTGTGAAAATGCACAAGACGCTGTGGACAATGTGTGTCTTTTACTGTGTATTTTGCTGTGGGTTGTTTTTTGTTGTTTTTTTAAATGTTTCTAGTTTTAGGATGACCACACGAGCACAGTGCAGTTCAATTTTATTTTTAAAACTTCATATTGTAAGGTAGGGACTCTAAAATAGCAGAGAGAAAACCCCAACAATCAGACAAGCCCCAATGATCAAGCGCTTTGTGACAGTAGGAAAGAAAAACTTCCTTTCAACAGGAAGAAACATCCAGCCGAACCAGGCTCAGGGAGGGCCGGCCATCTGCCGCGGCTGGTTGGGCGTGAAGAGAGGGAAACAAGACAAAAGACACACTGTGAGGATGATCGTTACTGCTCACCACGAGGCAACAGGAAAGAGGACCATACAGTTAGAAGTCCAACATATATGTGATGATGAAGGTTTAAGTAGAGGTTACAGGATAGCAAGAATATTCTAAATATGAATGATGAACCACATTTGTTGAATGAACAGGGAGAAAAAAAGGCCTGGTACATATATTGAGGAATACTGAGAGAATGGGAAGTAGGTTTGGTAAATCCAGACATCACTGCAGGGAAGGAAAGTGGGAAACTGGATGGGAAAGAAAGTCAGCAGGCATGTGGTAGATGGATGGAAAATGGCAGGGAGGAGTTAATGCGACTGACAGCTGACTCCCAGTCGGCATTGATGTGGGGAGGCTCTGACACATGTGGATTTACAAGCTGCTTCTCCCCACCTGCCGCTGAGGGGATTGTCAGCATGTTCATGCCTTTCCCACACATCCACCCTTCGTGCTCTGCTGTCAGCCATTAGGAATCACCAGGGCAGCGACAAGGACATGATCCCTCACAGGCTCCCCACCTGCCAACACTGCCAACTGTGTTCGAGAGAGCGCAGAGCCAAGACAGAAGCACCACTGTTGGGAATTACATATGGGTCTCAGCAGTTGTGGGTAAGTGGTTTTCTCAAACAGTATGGCGCCCCTTGCTGGGTGCCTGAAAAGAACATGATGATTTTTCCATATGGCAGCTTGGTGAGCTTAGTGACAGATGTCCATATTTGTGTTTCATAATACTTCACCAAAGACATAAATATGTCAACAACTAAATGATAAGGAATCCTAATACAATCATAAATCAAAACTAGCTCAAATACAAAGTCAACAATCTCTTAAATGGTTGACAACAGATTATGTGATGTTATTATGTTGTAGGTTAAAAGCACGATGACACATGCCTGCGAGAAGGTCATTTTTCACATGTGCAGGTATTCACTGTTACACCAAATGACAACACTCTGGGCCTAAATTCAACTACTGCCCTCGTCAATCTACCTAGCACACAAAGCAGCAACCAGGCAGCTCACGCTCGTGCTGGAGGGGATTTACATTCTTGCATGAAAATCTACTCAAGAGGCTGGATTCTCCTATCCGGTCGTTAAGTGATGTCGTGACGAATCCTACTTCCGGGCCTAAAGTAGTCTGCGTTTAATATGGCTTTTGTGTTGTTAACATGTTTAATGTTTTGTATTTTCTTCTATTTAATCTCAAAAAGCTCCTAAAACAGTCAGTGATCACTGTTGACCTCCCTTGGCTTTTATTACCGCTAATCATTTATTTAAGCTCAGTTTTTAAAACCTTAGGATGTAACTACAGCCCAGCCCATGCAGCAGTATATGAATGACTAACCTCGTATTGTGGATGGATTATCTCAGTTGTTCTCCTGGCTGAAGTTTGGTCCTTTTACAGCATCCTGCCATGCGATTACATTTGTTCCTGACCACCGAGAACACTCACGTTAACTTTTATCGAGTGGAAAAAAGTTAGCTTGTTTATATTATGCTAACATAGCTGTGTCGCTAGCAGTCACGTAGCACATCATTATATACCAGCTAGCCAAACTTCAGTAACCCTACAAACGTCACTGCTGTTTAGTTTTCTGTCTTCATTTATGTTGGAAGTGATAACAGAGCTGTACGTTTTAATTTGTTTCCAAAACCCCGCAGTCAGGACATGCTATATTGTATTTAGATAGAAGCTAGCGAGCTAACTCCTGCTAACTTCTAACTCCGTTAAATGTCATAAATTCCGTTTTCATGGATGCCTGGATGTTAAACTCAATTGTTACACCTGGTAGAGCAGAACGCTGATCATTTTATTAAAGATGAAAGACTTTAGACAGTTTTTCAACTCTCAGTAATGCCATAGTGATCGTTTGATATATGGACCTGCAGCGGAGTTTAGACCCAGACACGGCTAGTGACGTCAGACTTAACGACCGTATATATATAATCCTGGCAGTTTGGAGGGAAATCGAGGGAAAAACTGGCCCCTTTATAAATTATCATCTTTCAAAACAATGGCATGCAGATGACCTCCTTAATTAAAACCTTAAGTTTCACCATTCTTTTATAATACATTTGTTAGCAATTTAGAAAAGGAACTATGAACAGCGGATTTATTTTATGTGCACATTTGCATGTACTGACAGCTGTTACTGGGATATTGATCTTGAAGAAACACTGGAGGATTCTCAAGGACTTCCCGAGGGTTGATTGCTGATTGTACTAGTTGTTGTTGTTTAACTGTGTGCACTGACTTTTTGTACAGCATGCCTACAAGCTTTTCTACTCAACCACTACCTCTTCCCCCTATGTAAGTGCTTTCTACTGAACATTTACAGTCCTTATCAGATAGCAACTTGGGGTGAAGGATCCAACTACCACCCTTCCGATTAGTGGGTGACCTGCTCTACCTCTTGAAATGACAGTTTCAAGACAACAGGCTGTAAACTATTGTGGGTTGCAGCTTTACAACCCACTCTCATTAGCTTGTGTGCATATCTGATATCTGCTTTCTTTGGAGTTTTAGCTGCTCCTCTGCCTGCCCTTGGTTTTTCCATGTGTGCATATGGAAAGGCAAGTGGGTCCCAAACGAGCAAGTGAAAAAAACAGGCAAGAGAGTCAAAAGATGTTAAGAGGGAAAATATAAGTCCAGCAATAATTACCTCCTATATTTTTCTATAAGCAACACTTCGCAAAGTAGACACATTTATAAATATTTTATTAAAATTTCTTGTTAAAGACAAACTGAACGCACACAAAAAAATTATACTATTCATATTTATTTGAAAACAACAATCCATTTCTTCCACTTCTACTGCGATTCCTTGTTGCAACTGGGGTCATACATGATATTTGTATTAATTCCACAGAACACCATCACAAAAGTTACCCTTTTATATGTATGTTTACCTCTTTTTTTTGTCCTTTTTATGTATTGTTGTCATTTCTATACAATGACTTGTGCTTTGATATCTTCGAAAGAGAGAAAGAGTTTTTAAAGACATCATTGTCATCAGGATAAGTGTACATAACAGAGGATCGAAATAGAAAAAACATTGTAAGAAGAGGATATACTGGTCGAATACACACTGGTACAGAATACAGAGATACACACTCACATTGCAGCCTGCCCGACTCGGCCCGAAACTGTCAACAAGAGTAAAGAGTTGTTGTCCCAACCGCTCCCTTCTTCTCCTGATTTTAGGATTTTTAAGTATGCTGTTGTTGCCTTGCAACAAATACAATCCCTGCTGGTGAGCAGAGTTTTGGCTAAATATTGCTTAGCTACAAAAGGGATATCCAGGAGATGAAGAGGGACCACAGGCGGGCCAAAAAAGCAGTGCAGAAAGCCTTAAAATCACAACTGTTGTATGTATTCTTAATATTCTCAGACAGTTTAGGGTTAAGAGCGCAGAGCAGTTCTCCCCCTAACCACTTCTTTCAAAGTTCGCTGCAAAAGAAAAGGAAAGAAAAACCGATGAATACCGGGACGTCCACAGAAGAAATATAAGGTGCATTTGTCAGAAAGTTTGATGCATGTGTTTGCATGTGTGTCCCCCTCGAAATAAATCCATTCAGTAAGAGTTTCAGTGGGTTGATTGCCATTGCCCAAAAAATGTGCATCCATAACAAAAAATGTGTGTATGTGTGAGTTTAGGGGGAGATGACTGGGTATTTACATGGACTGGAATGTTTTTCCCGTTTACATATCTGGCATTCATTCAAGAATGTGGAGCTACCTTTGCCTCTGCCTGATGTTAATCTTGGTTGCAGATGGATGCATCGGTTGGGCGGGAGGAGTGCGGGGGTGTATGGAGAGAGGCGGGGCAGAGTTAAAACCAACATTTAAGCACAAAAAAAGAAGAAGAAAAAAAAGCCAAGGTGCAAGAAGGCATTCACTTAATGCTGAGCGCAAATCTGTGCCTTCTAAAAATCAAAAGAAAAACAAGACATAATACCACAAAAGTTAAGATAAAAAAGAGGAAAAATCACAAGCAGGGGGCAGGCAAAGAGCAGCAGAGAAAATGTACAAGCAGACTACCATAACCTTAATGTGAATGTCATTCTACATGTTAAGTGCAGATAGATAGATAGATAGATAGATAGATGATAGATAGATAGACAGACAGGTTGATAGATTCTATATACTATATGTATTAATATGCTGGGTAAATATTCTGGTAAATCTTCTATGTGTATATACCTCCAAGTAGAGGGGGCTCACTTAGACGTATATAAATAGGTCTAACATAAAAAGCCATATTACAGTGTGCATATCCTCGCCCTAATGTAAGCGATAGCAAAAAACCCATGCTTTACATAGAAAAAGGCATCCACGACATTTAAGAAAAAATGTACAATTTATGAAACATGGTAACAATAATAATAAATAGTATTATAGGATTGCTGCTGTACACAAAAAAGCAATTTTTTAAATTTCACTCATATAAAAATATGTTTTAGTGCAACCGTACGTAATAGTCATATCCATAACTTCACATCGTTTGTCGAGACTTTTAAGTTTAAGGTGTCCAAAAAAAAAGAGAGAGAGAAAGAAAAAACAGGGATGAAAGGGGGAGGAGGATGAGGGAGGGGGCTGCATTTATTACAAAGCTGATACGTGATAGTATTGTACTTTATTTACATTTACTTTCCTGCTTTGTTTGCTTATAAGAACATAAGCAAAACAAAAAGAGAGAGAGATAGAGAGATTAAAGAAAAGGCACACACGTAGCTGTCCGATGGTTTTTTGTTTTTCTTCGTCGTACCGTTTAACTAGAGTCCTTTGTTTTGTTTTTAGCAGATTTTGGTCGGGCTCACGTTGGTGGGAGTTACCGTACATGTGTATGCTCTTTAAAGTCTTTAAATAAGAAAGTCTCTGAGAGCAGGCCCCGTTTAAAACAGGCATGCTGTACACGAACATTAAGAGGTCCGTTTGAGTCTTTCATTTTTCTTTGTATGCATTGTTTTTATGTGTGTAAGAGAGAGAAAATGGGAGAAGAAATTGTGTGTAAAGTGTGCAAAAGTCAGTTTTTCTCTCTCCTGTTGCACTTCATCCCTTCCTATTATCCGAAAACAAACAAACAAAAAAAATGAGACATCCATCGTTTCTCCTCCTCCCCTTGGTCCTCCTCTGCAGCACTACGACACGTCTTTGCTTCTCTTTGTGCTTTCTGCCTCTCTGTCTCTCTCCATCTTGAGAAGTTTGGATGCCATTGGAGGCTGCAGGCTGTCAGATCCGGGGCTTGGAGGGTAAGGGGATGAGGAGGAAGAGGGCGAGTGAGGAGAGGCTGGGACTGATGAGTGGGGAGGCCTGAGTTCCAGGCTGCTAAAGTGCTGAATACCAGGACCTTGAGGAGGAGATGGTGATGGGTGGGGAGATGGCGAATGGTGTTGATGGGAGTCTGGGGACAAAGCTGAAGGAGAGGAAGAGGAGGAAGGCGCTCTGCTTCCGTCTTTCCCGTCATCCACTCTGCCTCCACCTCCTCCTCTCTCAGCAAACTCCTTGGAGTCAATGTAGAGGGAGGCGATGGCATTTGTGCACGTCTGGATTCCCTCTTCCTGCTCCTGCTCCTGCCTCACGCCTCCTCCTCCTTCCTTCTCCTGTGAGGAGCGGAGAGGTGATACTGAATCCCTCACTGTTTCTCCCACTACTGCTCCATGCCCGCCCCTCTCTGAAAAGGAGGTGAAATGTGCCTCGCTGGTGATGGAGTCCTCCGATATGCTCTTCTGCAATGACATCCGAGCAGCTTGCAAAGCCCCCTGCTGGGCCAGAGGGGTGTTAACGGACGCAGGAACAGAGTGTACAATCTGGATTCCACCGATGGGGATCATTGGGTAAGGCGAGCGCACCTGAAAGAGAAACGTTTAATTCACTCACGTGTTAAATGTCTGATCCCATTTATACTGAACTAAATACTCCACTGGAGCACTTATGCCACTGAAAACAGTCCTTGTTTACTCTGAAGTGAGTAACATTTATGCTCTTTTGCAGTTTTGGAGAAAAAAATCTTTAAAAGAAGAAGAAAAGTTGTTTGTAAATGACAAAAACCTGTTTTCTTAGATAAGTAGATCGATTGTTATCGTCTTCTTTAACCTTTATTTATCACATAACAAAACTCTACTTAATTAGCAGAAGTAGCATTATTACGTACAAACTTTTTGTATAAAATGGCTTTATAATTATGGGAATAATAATTTAACAATAGAGCACTTTTACAACATATGCTTTTTTTCTCAAATTAAGTCAAGTAATAAATGAAATATATAAAATATTACTTAACTAAGGACATGCAAAAGATGAAAATGTCTTAAACTTTCATTATTTCAAATCTCCAGCAGGGGGCGATTTTTCTGGTTGCAAACAAGAAAAAATTACCATGCATCTCACCGCAGGAAATACTTTCCTGGTGAGTTTATAGCCTCAGTAGCTAGTTTCATGTCTTTAATAGAACATGATGTTCATTTTGTAAGCGATCAAATGAACAATAAAGCATAGTATGATTAATGCGTGGCTACTTTGCTATCCACCTCTTGCTCGTGACAGCTGGCTTTGGAAAACCAAAAAATGCTAAAGGTTCAAGCTGAAGCTTTAAAACAGGACGGTGACATCATGGTGGTTAGGTCCATCTTTTACATACAGTTTTTGTGAAACAATCAAAATCTGTATTATACGAAAAAAAATAGAAAAGATACCTGTAGTTGAGAATGTAGGGGAAGGTGACTGAAGAGGACTTGGTGGGGTGGACTAGACTGGTTACCACGGCTACCCTGATCCACTGATGACGGTGAACCCGGATGCTCCTGGAAGAGAAGATGAAAATGAAAACATGCTGCTGGATATAATCACAAACTGCTGAGTTTACTTGAAAATTTCTTCTACATTTTGACAGGCAGCACATGCCCTCAACATAAACACACATGATTATTGGACAATTCTTCTTACAATAAACACACACAGGAGGTTTTTCAATGGAAATCCAAATCTTATGTAACAAAATAAACGAAAGAACCCTGATGAAATGCACGACGGTGCTGGACAACAGGTGTTGGTACGAGAACAAAGAAATCCAAAGAATGAAGGCTCTCTCAGATTTCTTGTGTATGAAAAATGGTTGTTAAAGCATTAATCAGTTATTTGAAGAGCAGTCAGTTATCCAAGCAGAGTCGCTCTCTGCTTCACGCTTTGTTTAAGTGGGACCAGCAGCAGGAGCTGGAGTTTGAAGTAGAGCTCTTAAGAAGAAAAACAGCCGCGCTATTAACCACACCAGCCAGCCAAGATCCCATTACCACCAAAACCCAGCAGCCCTATCTTCAATCATCCGTCTCTCCAACCCTCTCAGTCTATCTGACTCGCTCTTTATTCCCTCATCCTCTCTGAATGTTTCTTCTGTCTGCCAGACGGCTTCGTCTCTGTCAGGTTCTTTCTTTCTTGGCTCCCTCTTTCTGTCCTTTTCTTCTATATTCCTAAGTTGCGCTTCGGGTTTTTCACATCAAAACCACAGTCCGCATACTCAAAAGCGCTACCTCAACGGTAGACTTTAGAGAGGCAAATGTTTTTTAACAAAACCACAAACATGCATTTACTGAAAGTGAGGAGAAGTCCATTTCTGTGAACAAAACTGATCAAAATTTTCCTCCCAGACTAATAATTTTCATAAGCAAACTTACAGAGAAATCTGAGCCAAAGAACCTGTGAAACAAGCTAAGCTTCTAGTTATGAACATTTATTGTTAAAAAGAGAGAGAAGATATCTTCTGACATGAGCAGCAACAAGAACAGTAGAGAACTACTGTTGACAACTGAGAGGAAAAGGAGGTGGATTTGGGTTGCAAATTGGCTTGCAGCAACATTTCAGAATTTCACATCTCACATCAATGTTCATAACCTAGAGGTAATTTTTCATCAAAACTTACAGCATTACTCTCGAGATCTCGTTTGTTGTAATATAAATAAGTTAAATAAAGGATCCAGAATTTCAAAATATGTGCTAGAGATGCTCGTTCATGAATTCATCTGATATAATTGTTAACCCTGTTTCCAAAATATGCATTAGGTTCAAGCTCACAGTCTAACTATCAGACTGCTTATGTCCCTTTCCTGGCCAATTTCCCTCATGTGTCCATGTTATTCTTTAAAGTTAAACCATTGTCTGTCCCATGCACCAATCAGCGTCAGTGTGGAGCTAAAATATTTAAACATTGAAGCATAATCATGAACAAAATCTTACCGTCTCCATTTCTGTGCTGGCTGTGTGACGTCCCAGAGCGCTGAACTCTCCCTGACCCAGCGCACCAGTCTGATGACTCAGCCTCAGGCCCCGCGCCCCGCTCTGCTGGCTGGTGGTCACAAATACGGACAAATATCACATTATACCTTAATCAAGTGTAAAATGTGCATCTGTTTATCTGTTAATGATACTGAGTAGTTTTAAGTTGAACTGAGGTTTGCTGTTAAGCTATTTAAGTGAATCAGTTAGGGCTACTGGATTAAATGGAAAAGGTTCTTCTTCGGACCTGGAACTTGCTAAAACCATTAACCATTAAGTAACAAAGTGGCTGAAATCATTCAGAATTTGAGCTTACCTTTGGTGGTGAAGGTGTTGGTGAAGTCCTCTGCGAGGAGACACAGGCCGGATCATCCCCCTGTGGCGGCCTCGTGGTGAAAGGTCTCGCTTGTAATCTCTTCCCAATGGTGACGTGGGCCGAGACAAGGGAGAAAGCAGTGACAGGTGTCCCCTTCTTGGTGAAAGGTCTCGCCTGTATCCCCCTGCTGCTCCCAGGTCTCTCTTAGGGGAGATGTGACGCAGAGGAGAAATGTCCCGCCGGGGTGACAGGTGTCCTGCGCGGGGTGAGAGGTCACGACGTGGGGAGAGGTAACGGCGGGCTGAGGGTGAGGAGGATGGGGAAATGGGGGATGGGCAGCCAGAGTTGTCTAAACCGGGTGAGGAAAGTCGTGATGAGGGGGAGGAGAGATCTGGGGAGGGGACGGGAAGGTCTTCATCCATGGAGGAGGAGGAGGAGGGTGGAACCAGCAACCTGCTACCCTGCGACCGCTGCTGGCCTCTCTGGTACTCTGACTGACTGTGCTCCCGCCTGGCCAGGTCGGTAGGCGGAGCCTGCGGTGTGATCTGGATACTCGGCACGGTGGTGAAATAGCCAAACAGAGGCGGCCTGCTGCTGTTTCCCAGGAGGTCGGATGCTGAATGGTAAGAGAAGTGAGGAACAGGTTGGGAGGCGGCCACAGCTGTGACAGAAAGGGAGGGCAGGCCATAAGGCTGCGGGCTGGTGGAGCGCGAGCGAGTCTTTGGGGTGGAGTCACCATCATAGTCTTCTTCGTCGTCGTCTTCATCATCCACCTCATCACCATCTTCTTCACCACCCTCTGAGTCATCAGCGTCTGAAAACTGGTGATCTGCCATCTCGCCTCTGGAATTCTTCTCTGAAGACCTCTGGCCTTCATCTCCGACATCTTGAAGAAGAGGAGAAAGCAGCAAGAGAGAGAAGGAAAAAGAGGAAGTGGAAGAAGATGTGAAAAAATATTATAAGCAGGAGATGAAGAGTGAAAAACAGGTATGAAAAAGAGATAAGGAAAAATAATTGAAGGTGAAGTAGTAAGGCAAGAAGAAGAAGAATGGAAGGAAAGATAAGAGACAGAATACAGACACAGGGATAAGGACGAAAGGACAGGAAGAGGAAGAAAAAAGGGGAAAATGGACGAGAAACAACAACAATAATGTATAAAGGAGATGAGGGAGAAAAAGCAGAAGCAAAAAGAGTGGGAAGAAACATACAGAGGAAGCAGAGGAAGAAGAAAAGAAAGCAGAAGGAGTAGAAAGAAGGAAGGAGAGAAACAGGAAGAAGACAAAGAAAGGATAAAGTAAAAGGAACAGGAGGAGGAAACAATAAGGTAGAAGGAGACGAAAAGGACAATGAAGAACAGAAGAATGAGTGGAGAGAGAAATGGTTTGTATTAATAGGTGACAGAGTTTAGGTGTAAAACAAAACACCAATGAAATCTCATTCCCACCAGCTCAAAACAATAAAACACAATAAAAAGAAAGTTATTTAAACCCTCAACACTTTGGTTTTTCCCACAGGATGGACTACAGCCAAATGTTGGCAGGGTCTTATTGTATAGTAGCAGCAAAGTTACTGCTGGCAGGTAACCAACGCTTTAAAATGCAGCCAGACGATTGGCTGAAAAACGTTAATTCTGGGAATTAAAAAGTTTGTTTGCTTTTTGTGACTTTCAAAAGACTCCAAGTTGAAACAGAGGCATGTTTTTGTTGTTCAGAGCTTCTTATCTGTCCAGAGAGAGATCGAAAAATATGAAATTGATCTAAAAAAAAAAAAAAGAAAAAGAAAGAAATTCCATCAGCATTTTATTTTCCCCCCATATGCAGCACAAGGAAGAAGTAGTTAATAAATCGTATTTAAGCAACTATTTCAGCGGAAATCAGTTGCACTAACATTGGACTACTTTTCCAGTTAGTCTTATATACAACAGTTTCTCACAAACCACCAGTGTTTATGTCTCAGTGACTCACTCACTGGATTTCTGTAGCGCTCCCTTTCCCCAAAAACCCCCTGTGTATATGTGGGATCATATCCCAATTAAATGGCATGCCAAAACATAGTTACATTTAATTTGGTGGTCTACATGGTGGGGCGTTACCACCAGCTACCAGTCCCATTCTGGTTAAATATGATGGTAAGGGCTCAGTTCATCCGCTTTTACAAAAATTATGCAAAGAAAACCTACACTTTTTATTCGTAAAACATTTTTTCATAGAAATCTGAAGTGATTGGTTGAGAGATGCTCTCGCTGGTATGTCAGTCAGATATGACAATAAATGCTTTATACTTGATTTTTTATTTGTTGTTTATTTGGTTGCTTAAATAATTAGTTATTAGCTATAGAGAGGTATAGAGAATCAGTGGATCCATTACAAGAGCAAACTAGATACCAAGATGCTGTCCATTCAGATGTTTAAAGAACAAAGTGTAGCAAAGATCAGCTGAAAGTAATAACTGCGAATGGTGAAAACTCCGTAGATTATAAAAATAATCCCACTAATTTCCAGCTTCATTATCAAGTCATCAGGAGATTAACGGGAAATCGAGACCACAGCCCCGAGAGACAGCTGATGAATATTTCATGGAAAAATCATATTCATTCGTCAATATCAGCCTACGACAAGTTCGCCAGTAATAATTTTCAGATTATTTCCACATCAGCAGATTAATAGCACGGCGTATTCCTTGTGGCGTATCCTCATGAACCTCGTCACCGAGGTTGACTGGCTAATATTTGTTTCTTTTTCTAAGCTGTAGCTTTAAATTGTTCCTGGAGTATTTTAAGGCCATAAGAGGTGTTTTTAAAATATTTTTTTTAGTCAGCTTGTGTGTCAGGTGTGGTTGTTTGACATGGATGCTGGCTGTCAGGATAAGCTCTGCTTTCCATTACACTAATTGTCTCTGCACAGCTACACCGAGCCAAGAGCTCTGCAGGCTGCACTCAATAAGACAGCAGGATGTAGTCCAGCTCAAGAAGTGTGTGTGTGTGTGTATGTGTGTGAGTGTTTGTGTGTGTATGTGTAAATGCATGAGTGTGTTTGTCTCCTACCTCCTTCGTCTGCCTCAGTGTCCTCAACGGAAGACATGGAGACTCCCAACTCCAGACACTTTTTCATATGAGCCTTAGACTTCATGTGCTTCGTCAGGTTTCCTGCAAAATGCGCACACACAAGCACAAACACCATTTAATGACCCTTCGACTAGTCTTACTGGAAACCACAGCTTGTTGGGCTGCATCAACACAAGACTGTAAAAGAAAGGATGAAATGGAAATAGAAGCGGATGAAAGAGTGAGACCGCAAGATTGCAATTTACAAATAATATATAATTTATAACAAATTTAATTTAATAACAAAATTACTCAACCTGTCTGGACTCTGCTTCAGTTGGCAGAATGTATAGAATCCAAAGATACGCATACTTTACATATGAATTTGAAAATCTATCCCGTGGATAATGGCTTTTTATTAAAGATCACATATCGGGTAGTCAGCATCTTTAACCTCTGATATGATGGAGGTTCCTGCTGACCACAGCTACAGAAAAACAGCCTTTCTGCATGTTTTATTCATTCATTTAACCACTTAGTGCTGCCCCTTAAGAGTTTTCCTACTAAAAGTCTGCCGTAAAAAGCTGCTAACACCTGGAAAAATGTTTACAAGGTTTACTGTGATGGTCAAGGAGAAAGTTTAGAAGATATTTATGGAGATCTACAATATCCAGTGGTTACTGCAGTTATAAAATAAATCAAACCCCGGCCTTAATAAGTCACTGCATTACTTGCATACAGAGATAAACATAGTTCAGTCAGTAGCGCTGTAGTCAAAAGAAGATTCATTTCCTCTCCACTAACTTATATTCGACACTATAAATGCAAAAGAAGCAAAACCCGATCAGAGCAGACATCAGCGACAACAGATACGAAAAAGCACCTAGGGCGGAGGCGGGTTGCAAGGACGGTTGCAGTTGCACAGTGACTGTAGCCAGGCTTGCTCATAGCATGCTGCAAAACACAATATAAAAGAAGCCCTACCTTTCGTCTTGAATGCAAAGTTGCAGAACTTGCAGACGTAGGGTCGGATGTCGGTGTGCGTTCGGATGTGTTTCTTCAGCATGCTGGGCTTCTTGCAGCGGATGCCACACTCTTCGCAGATGTATTTCCCTCGTCCGCGACCGCGGACGTAGACGTAGTCCTCATTGGATTTATAGCTGGAGGAAAGAAACAGTGCAGCGATTAGGTTTTTTACATTTTTGCAAAACAGGCACTTTGTTAACACAATAGCAGAAACAATTGTTAACAATGAAGCCATGAAAGTGGGTTTTACTTGTAATATCATAATTTTGTCCTGCCACAGTTGTTATTTATGCTTATGTATACAGTATAAAGATAAATAATGTACTGCTATAATATAACTGCCAGACAGCCCTCTACGGTTGGCTGTGATTCAGTTCACTTCATCACAATTTATTTTTCCCAGCGGGACAATTAAAGGCTGGTGAAGCAGTAAACGGATACACACATACAGCACAATGCTAACACACACACAGAGGAAGACACCAATCCAGTTTTATATTAAAAAATATATGAAACGTGTATTCCAATCTTCATTGGACACCCCATATGGAAAAGATATATATAAATCTTATAAAGTTTGTATCTGTCTTGTGTGAAACTTGTATGAAAAGCATATAAGTGTGAAAACAGATATAAGATCCCTTGAAAAATTATATAATGAAACTTGTATGTTTTGGATACTTACTAAAACAATGTATGAAAGTAATGCGAAAGTGGCCACTTTCATGAGTTAATCACATATAAGTTTTTACTATTTCTTTTCCATATGGGACTATTCATGGTTATTGAAGATCTTTGTCCTTCACCACAAAGAGGTCAGAGGTCAAAGTCAGAGACACAGATGCTTGCTGACACAGAGGTTCTGGTTAAATAAGACTGAAATGAGGTTTCCTCTGCTCAGATGCATCATAGGGCTCAGAGGCTGCAGTAACCATTCATTCATGTTTAAATCCCATCACCCCTGCTGGGATGGTTCATATAGTGCTATATTTTACACCTTATCATATGTCACTCCGTGGAATTTTTAATTTCCATTTGCAGTCATTTCCAATTGCTTGCCTCAAAGCTGAGGTTAGTCCCATTCATTACCCAACCACTGCATGCCACCAATAACCCCTGGTGACACGATGGACACCAGAAGGACAATACACCCACACCCCTCAAAAAAATGCTCAGGAATGACTCAAGGCACTGATTTGGCCTGTACACTACCACAATCCCACAAGCTGAGCATTTGCTCGAATGATTCCAGTGAAAAACACAATCCACAGAGGTCCCAGTGACGTCTAACAGATCTGAAGGGTCAGAGGTGTTCTGGCAGCTTAGGGGCACCAACATATTGTCAGGTATTATCAGTTTTACTCTGAGGAATACACCAGGTGTTTGCCTGTGATGTTACATCTCTGATTGTTCATCTGTCTTTTGCACAATCTCAAGTCACACATTTGGCATAAACAAAGTCTTTTATTTTGAAAATAAATATCATTGCCACGCCTGTCTCTGCTCATCAGCTCTGCACATCTTGACGCAGCTTCTGTCAAAAATGGAGAGCGGAGAGCCGCTTCTGGGATGCTTTCGAAGCACGCTGTGAAGCAGCTGGTGGCGTATTCCACGGGGGTTATTGCCACAGCTGATCATCGTGTGTTTGTAGTAAGCTGCAACAGATTACTTTGTGTCTCACGATGATTACCATGATTAATGTAAGCAGAAAACAAGCCTGCTGTCTTTTATTATCCCTGTGAATTCTGTTGACCTGGTCGTAACCTCTATACAGATGCAACCTTTCTTTGTTTTAAGCTAAAACGGGAACCACTGGAGCGTTCCACTTCTGGCTTTGTTGTTCATCATCTTTTCTAAAAAAAAAAAGATAACCACATTCCTTCAGCCAGTCCCACTTATTCTTTTACAAGATTTCTTTTTTTTTTAAGCATCGCTGTCAGTCGTGATTTTCTATCCCACATGAGTGAAAGAGTGGACACTTGGCAGTGGGATCAGTGCATGTCTGCCTGAGTCTGTCAGTCATGGAGGGAAGTTACCACCAACCACCAGTCAAATTCTGGTAAATTCTGTCTGTTTTTGCTCTGCCGCAGAAGCATCGCATTTAGTTCAGTTTTTTTGTACTAAAGAAAAAAACGAATAAATCCTTGTGGAGGAGTAGCAAAAGCTGCTGGAGGATTGTATAGTTTCCTGTTGTGTCTGCAGTGGCTGGAGAAGTGGATAATGTGTAGTTCAGGGCCTCATGTGTTAAAGGAGGTCAAATATCAGGTACATCAAACAATCCATCTGCAGCAGCGAGGGGAAATTTGTCTTTCAACTGCACCGCGGCCTGGGAAATACCTCTGAGTGCTCGTCTGAGCCGAGACGTTTGCACAGCTGTGTCCAGTTACCAAAAATGAATTATGATGATTATTTCGTTTTATTCTATTTTATTCAGGGCACACGGTAAGATCATAAAAGCAGATTCACTTTCAAAACTACTGAAACGTTTGACTGACGGCGAAACGTAAAGCCAGTAAAAGATCTGGTTCTTCGGCCAAAATTTGCACTTAATGGATTTCTGTCATAGAGAAAGATTTCACCTCAGGTTTCTTTCTTTTTTTTAAGGTATAGTCTGTTTGTGTGAGTGTATGTGTGCATATGTTTGTCTTTCCTGTGCACTCTGTTTGTGTGCTTTCATCCACTTATTCCTCTTAAGTGTCCTTTGGGGACACCAGAGAATTACTTCACTGTCTGCTGCATTTAATAACTCCCCTCCCTGTATATATGTGTGTGTGTGTGTGTGTGTGTGTGTGTGTGTGTGTGTGTGTGTGTGTGTGTGTG